ATGTTTTTTCTGATCATTATCGCAGTGTGGTTGTGTGTTTGTTGTGTTGGAGCTGAAATGTGAGTGGTGTGTGTCTCTGTGGACAGAGAGAGAAAGAGAGACCTGCAAGTGAACTTCAACCTCAAGCTTTCTCACGGGAGATTACATCCTCAGGAAAAGAGTTTGTGCGTTTACATGTGTCACTCAGTGCGGTTGAGGAATGTGAGCATTACAGTTGCCATTTGTAAAAAAACCCTTGCGTTTCGCAATCAGTCAGACACCTCTAAGTACTGTTGACTATATATTCAGGCAGGGTCAGGGTTTGTGACGTACGGTATGATGTCAGACACATTTACTGATATGACAACTACCCTCCAGTGGCCTTGTGTGAAGTGTCCGTTGGGGTAATTTATGTGTTGGGGAAAGATTAGTTGTGTGCAATTATTTATTTATTTATTGCATTAAATTATGCATGTAAATGCCCTTTATATGCGTGACGTGCAAGAGCCTGCTAATATGTACAGTAATTTTATATTTATAGTGAAATTTAATGAGCAAAAAAGCTTTAAAAAAAGTGGGGAAAAATGAACTGACAGTTTTTATTCAGAAGCAGCTGTGACAGAAATATCACCAAACAAATAAAAGTGACATTTTTTATAATGGGTTTATGTGACTATTGTTTAGGTTCACTTAAATAAAGTTGTAATATTTTAATGTTCTGCAATTGTTAATAAATTATAAATAAAATATCGTATAATTTAGGCATGACTTTTAATCATGGCTATAATTACTAAGTTTAGAAATTGAAAACAAAAATCCATTTAATAGAGGCATCAGTATCAGTATTGACATCAGTCTTCATTCATAGTACTTTAAATACTGTCTTTGTTTTTTCCACATTAATTTGGAGATTTAGTTTGGAGATTTAAAATATATTATGATTACACATTTTAAAGGTTAGAATTAATGACAAAAACCTGTGTGATTTAATTAACAAACACTTGAATAATGTATGAAAATTTGAGCATGGTTTTAAGTTGACCAATCAAAGTTTGGAAAATTATTTCTTTTCAGTCTGAAATGAGCCAACACTTACTTTACTGCTGAAATCACAATTATATGTAATTTGTACAAATTAAATGTTAATATTACTCAAAATCCACCGATCCACAAATAACAAACTGTCTGTGTTATTATTACTCAAATGAATGCTTGAGTTTGCTAAAATGACTTAATTAGTGATAATGATTTGCTCTCTCTTTTTAGTTGGATCAACTTATTCCAGTTAATAAGATGATTAGATAATTAGATAATAAGTATTTTTTTTTATTCAATTATCAGAATAGTTTTTATGTGGCACAGTTTAAATGAAATGGAATGAATTGTTTCCCCACTGTATCTTTTTTTCTTTGAGACTCATTGGAGTCACACTGGCTTTACTGTCTGAGTCTGCTCATCTTGAGCGGCTGATGGGTAAATGCAATCATCCCATGGTCCTTTGGTTTCTCTTGGCAGGAGAGACATAAGCATACCTGTAGGGACCTCTGTCTGCGAGTTCAACACACACACACACACACACACACACACTCATGGGTCCTTCATCTACTAGATTTGGTTGCTGATTACCTCTGAGCTCGAGAGAAACATTCTTCATTCATTCTCCCCTGTGATCTTGCTGCCATTTGGCATGTCTGTGTTTAAAGTTGACCTTCAGCTGGAAGGTGCACATCTTATTAAAGCACAACCTAAACATAAATGTGGATCTAATGACCTGCGGTGAATTAGACCAGACAAGTCTTGAACTGCACCTTGAACCTTTCGGCCATCATTTCAATGTAGGGGCCAAGAGGATCATGTTTAACATTCATCACCAGTGGCTGAACAGTATCATTAGGTGCTGTTATCTTCACATAGTGCTTGTGCTTTTCTCCTCATTATTCCATGATCTCTTTCTGTGTTGTGTTTCAAGGTCATGGCTCAGAGCGTGTGCCTGTTCCGATTCTACGGTACAAACATATCACTGCTTGTTTCTGTGGTAACAGCCCCGCTGACCTCCTCAAATGTGGGCCAATTAGAGGAGTCTCTGACATAGGAGGGCACTACCGTGTGAAGCCTTTTTGCTTTCTGAAAGTGATTTAGAGGATAAATCTTCCCATTTAGGGAGAGAGAGAGAGAAGATTATAGAGACTGTGGAGGCTATTGAAGAGGACAGATGGGTAGGAGTCTTGGTAATGAGCAGAAAGTATATTATAGTCTAAAGCTTACAGTACTTTCATGTATCGTGATACGTATCGTATCGTGGCCTATGTATCGTGATACGTATCATATCGTGACTTTGCTGGTGATACACAGCCCTAATATATATTGGGGTGTAACGATATTCAAATCAAACCGAAAAACCGCGATACACCAACACCACCCACGATATGTATCGCAGTACTCTTGGTACTGTTGAACACCTGAAACACCTTAAAAACACTGTTTATTTTATTTGTATTTTTTTTATATTGTATTTATTTGTGCTGTTGCATTTAGTTTGATTATTTGTTATTATTTTCATTATTTTTATTTGACTGTAGTCCTTTTTTCCCTGAACATAGCACATACCGAACCAAACCAAACCATGACCCTAAAACCATGAACCGAACTGTGAGCAATCTGAACCGTTACACCCCTAACATATATATATAGGGATGGGTACCGAAACTCGGTATTTAATCGGTACCGGGGCTAAATTATGAAAGACCGGAGTATCGATAAGCTCTGACGTTAACGGTTCTGCTATCGGTATTGGAGAAATTAATAAAACACACATACATTTATTATTGCTATATATACATTATCTTGCAAATTCTATCTCACCAGAGTCGCCAGCTGTTTTTCAAACATTTGTCTATGATGCATTTTTGCTATTTGCAATTCAGAAGCGAGATCGCACCCACGCCGAGGAACATGAAAGCCCTGTTTAATTATGATAAAAGAGAGAACTAAACATTAAAACATCCGCTTACACTTTATGCCTGTGGCTGTTTTATTAAGCTAATTTTATTT